AGGGATTGACCTGGCTTGGGGAAGGAGTACAATGGCAAGATTTTAGGAATCAGAATGTCACTTACTTGATACATGTCCACAGGACTCCAAAGCTGAACCACCCCCTGGCCGCGTTCAACCATCGCCATGCTCGAGAAAGTCGAAACTACCCTCCTGCAGATCCCCAAACAATCCTCGTCATTCTCGCGTGCTCCAAACTGGTTCTCTATGTCCGCCATCCAGACCGTATCGTCGCACTTGCACCCAGCACCATGAAGCAAACCGTGCCAATGTCTAGCTTTGACCTCAAAGAGCCCAGGTGTTATTACTGTGCTGCAAATCTTATTCCCAGCTGTTTTCAGACTCTTGCTAACACATGATTTGATCTCCTGCCAGTTCACAACTGCCAATACGGCCGTCGTATCCGCCTGTGGCTTCCACACACGGGGGAACAGGTGCGGATACACTCCCAATACTTGAAAGAAAATCGGATTCCCCGTCGTTCCAACGCAGCAGTGGGTCTCCGTCGACTTCCCTCGCATCATCGGCAGGGATGAGGAAGGTCATTTGCGGGGAGGAGTAGGCACTGCGGGACCAAATGTACACCTTCTCGCCCCAAGGTTCCGGCTCCGTACACGACAAGTCTTTCTTGAGCGGGTCGAAGTCACCTGCATTTGGCCTGTGGTGTGCTACGGGCGAGCCCTCGGCCCAGTACCCGTCCACTGTCACCAAAATCCACGGCCCATGAATTTCTTGTTGGACTTCAACGCCCGCCTTGTCCACAGTGGTCGGGTTCAAGGCCTTCTTTATATTTTCAGCCATGACAACTAGGGCGTCCTCCTTTTGGGTCTGCTGCTTGCCATCCCGCGCTCTTGCAGAGATAAACCTTATGTACTTCTCCGACTTCGTCTCGTCCTCGACACCGCCTTTTCCGAACCTGTCCTCCAAGTGCTGCGCAAATTCAATGAGAGGCTTCAGGTTTGGGGGTTCGATCTGGTCGTCGGCATTTCTCCACAGAACCACTATCTTAGATATCTCTTTACAGAGCTGACTCAACGCCTTAAAGCCCGAATGATCGCGCCCTTGTTGTTTGCGGTGATCGAGGACTATGGCGTGAATGTTGTCATAAAACTGGCACAGGTCAGCAACTGCGGCGGTTGCCCTGTTGGGGAGAACGAAAGTGGGGATTTGTTGGAAAGCCAACAGCTACGAATTGACTGTACCAAGGTGATTGGGGGGCCTGATCGGCTCGCCACCGTTCCGTACCGTTACTGCTTAGTGTCCCTTTTCGAACCCCAGTTATGTAGCGAAAAATGCCGCAGTTAGGTAAATGCAAGGCGCCTTTCCCTTCTGGGCACCAGTTTTTAGCGGTACAATGTGAAAAAGCCCTCCAGACCTCCATTTTGCCAAGAACACATGTACCACGCCATCGCGTTCGCTTGATTCCCTGCGACAGGCTTAGCGGTGCCATAAAAATGACCTTCAACAGGCTTGGCACTGTCGTTCCGCAACGACCGATGTTGGCCGTTGCGGAACGGTAGGCAGGAGCTTAGTGGTCACGGCCCACTTTGTAGGAGGCTCCGCGTGGGGTTCTCAGAGGGAAAAGGATGAAGCTGTAGATGTTGCTATTCTCGCCCTCTCTCTGTATATCGCGATGGTTTCGGACAGTCAACCTCAGCGCCGTGCGCATCTGACGGCAGCGCTGCTTGGTGCCCTCCATGTACTGCAAATCGGGCGGCGGGCGCGGCGGGCACCGAACACAATACATCCTGGCGGCCCAGAGGAAGCAACCAAGCTTTCAGACAATATACTGCACGGATCGTCAACCCAGTTCTATGACCTGTTTCGCATAGATCAGCCGACCTTCTTGAAGCTAGTGGGCTGTCGCTGAGCTCGTCGAGCTCCTTGACAATGATGGGAGCCGAGGTCAGTGCCTCTGATGCCGTAATACACACACACACACACACACACACAATTTATTCCGCCCGGCGGGCCTAACCCGAAAGGGCAACTATCATGCAATCTACTAATACATATCCTAAAATGGATCCTGATCTCATGAAGCCCGTACATCCTCCTTTTCTGGCTTATCTCCTTACAATTTTGCCCTCTCTGCTGCGGATGCTCGTGGGTTAGTTGTACGAATAGTAAGCTGGCTTGAAGGCTAGTCTCCAAGTGTCCAACGTCCTATCTTCGGCGGCTGAAGCGCGCTTACTCCGTGTGACACGAGATGAAGGGGGTTGTTAGTCGGGGTTTAGGATGGTGAGGTTAGTTTGCTTCATTCTGTTGTTGTTCAGTCCTCAGACGACCTGTGGCAATGGCAAAACGTATCGTCGCCCGCACCGCCCGCATGTTGGGGGACCAGTCCTTGTCATCCGAGGGCGACTTTCCTCCCAGGTAGAAGGAGAGGTTCCCCCTGTGGACATCCGTACATTGCAGCATCTCCCTACGGTGTTGATCCCATTGCTTGCATCGGAAGAGGAAGTGGTCCACTGTCTCTCTGGCTTGTCCACACGTACACTGGTCTGACGGTGCTGCTTTGATGCGATGCAGGTATGTGTTGAGCTTGGCCATGCCTGTTCTAAGCTGAGCAAGCACGCCGGCCTCGCTTCGGGACAGGTGGTCGTATAATAGTTGGGTGTGCTTCCCTGGTAACGCTATATCGACTCTCTTGGAATGTCTGCCCACTTTGTCAGGTAAGGACGTGGGCGGTGCCCGCTTTGCCCATGCGATACGGAGGGCTGTTGACCGCATGGCAGGATCCTGCGTTTGTGGCGTAGCGTCCTGCCGTGTTGCTTCCTTTGCTTTCGCTTTGGCTGTGTTCAGGAGCTCGTTTTTGGTACCCGCTTGGATCCAGACGACCGAGATCGTGTTTCCCGCCTTGCGTAAGGCACTTATCGCATCGTACGCCTGACAGAGATATTGTTGTCCTGATTGCTGGTGTGGTCGCTCCAAGGCCATCACGGCTGCCTTGTTGCTGGTGGCAAGGATGATCTTTCATCTGGAAGTGGGATAGTTAGTCTAAATTCCACGGGGATCCACAGATACATTGCAGCCTCTGCATGCCAAGCCCACTAGTCTAAAACGCGGGCGACAGATGTATCTTCTAAGCAGTAACGGTACGGAACGGTGGCGAGCCGATCAGGCCCTGGGTGCCAAAAGGTGATGAAAGGGGGGGCAACCAGTCCATTGATGATGATATCTGTATCTCTGTCTCTGTCTTGTTCCCACTGCCGCGGGCCTCGCCCTGATCCTGAAAATACTAATAATGCCCAGCCACTAGTTACCCCTGAATTGCCCCTCCTAACCGCCTTCCAAATCCAACACACCCCCTCAGTTGAGCCCGCGAGGGCGAAACTGGATATCTCAGCTGCCACTACCTTCCTGAATCCCTTCTGCCACCCTATCTCTGTTTCTTCCTTTTTCCTGCTCTCTGCGAGCCTCTCCCTCACATCAACCAGTCCCATCTGCTCCCTGAAACTAACAAACTGCTCCCGAACAAGCGCCTTCGTCAGGCCATCTGCCATCATCTCTGCACTCTTGGTGTACATGACGTCGATCTTTCCAGCTGCGTATTCCTGCCGTAGCCAGTGGTTGTGGATGTCCACATGCCTGAGGTTCGTCTTGAGTTTCGCGATCTCCTCTGTAACTAGCCGGATTGTCTGAGTGTTGTCGACTTCAATGACTAGGCGCTGTAAGTCCAGTGTTACGCCCAACTCCTTGAGTAGGCGTGAGACAAAAAGGCCTTCCTTGGCTACCTGTGAGAGAGCAAGGAGCTCTGCCTCAGTGGTCGATGTGGTGACGGTGTCCTGCTTGTTCGCCCGCCAGGCGATGAGACCACCGAAAAGCTTCATGGCGTAATCTTGGCTGCTTTTGCGATCCAGAGAGTTGTCGGCAAAACTGACATCGCTGGCAATGCGGAGGTCATCTGCTCCGTTTGCGCGAGTGTGGCGATTTTGTCGATGTATGACTTCTGGGAGAGCCAAAGCAGGCGGTTGGAGCGGTTACGCAGGATTTCCATGCCCAGAAACCACTGGAGTGGCTCGCCGCCAGTCAGTTTGTATCGTGTGCGTGACTGAATCATCGTTCTGAGTGCCTCCTGGCGCTGAGACTCGCGGAAGGCGATGACAATGTCGTCGACGTAGAAGAAAATGATAACTCCGTTTCTGGTAAATGCGCAAGGTTCGTGGGGTACTGCCTTAAAGCCAAGATTGCCAAGTGCCCTGGAGAGCGTTCGTTGCCAGAGAAGCGGCGATCGGCGCAGGCCATAGAGCGCTTTGTTAAGCTTGAGGATCGTCTGGTGCCGCCGATGCCCTGGTGGCATGCGCATGAAGACGTCTTCGTCCAGATCTGCGTTGACGAATGCGTTGGCTGCGTCAAACTGCAATAACTCGAGGTCGAATCGGGCGGCAATCGCCATCACTGTCCTGAATGATCTGCCTGCAAGCGTTGCGGCATAGTTATTTTGGGCTGCTCCTCTGAGCTGTTGGTCGCCTCTGACGACCAGCCTCGCCTTTGCCTTAGCAAATCTGCCATGCTTCTCGAACTTGTACACGTAAACCCATCTGCAATCAAGCACTTTGTGCCCTCTGACCCGCTTGTCGCGGCTGGAAATCTCTGTCCAGGATCGCATCTCGGCGTGGCTCTGGAGGTGATCAGCCTCAGCCTGCGCAAAGAGCTCTCCAAATGGATGTTCTGCTAGCTCAGAGTGCCTCTGCGGCGGCTCTGGCATGTTTCTACGATGGAACCGCTCCCCTGAACGCTGCAAACGTTGGAAGACGGCTCTGGTAACTGGTCTGCCGTGCTCAGCCTTAACCACAGTTGCCTTCGTGCCCGCATAGAAGGCCCCTTTCCATGCGTCTGTGTAGTTCATTCTTGCCTTCCCAGTGGGGACCTCGCCACAGAGAGCTCTGGCATGAAAAGCGCTATGTTGAATGGCTTCTTCCACTTCAGAAACTCCTCATGTATCCCCAGGCAAACCCTCTGCGTGGTGGGAGCCACGCATTGGGTACACAGAACCAGTCATCACTGCTGCAAGCAGTGCTGCTGGTGGTGATGGCGGTGGCGTTGGGAGCAGCTCAACCTGTGCTGTGGTGTAGGGCTTCCCAACCGGCTCTGGAGCGCCAGACTCACTCCCTGGACCTCCTGCAGGAGCAGGGGAAACTCCCGAGGTCCCTGAGGGAGGAGCTGGTTCTGAGGTCTGAACAATGATGCAATCCTCTATATGCTCTGACTGCTGACCTGTCTGTAAAGAGTGCATGTCATCCACCCCCTCAGGGGCATGCGCACGGTTGACCTGCTCATCTGATTTCTTTGGAATACTGAACTCACTGAGTAAGCGTGCTAGTTCATCTCGATCAATCTCTCGGATATCGTCACGGAGCTCCTCGAGTGCGCCACTGAAGGTCTCTTGCTCGTCGAAAATCACGTCGCGCGTGTGGATGACTTGGTTAGTGACTGGATTCCAGATGCGGTATGTGTTTGATGATGCGTAACCGACGAGGTAACCGATCCATGCCTTTGGGTTGAAGCGCTTGAGGCGTTCTCCCTTCAACATCGCTGTGGTTCATTACCGCCCCATGCCGAGACTGAAAAGCCTTTGACGGCTTACGCTTTGAGCGAATTTATCCCGGCTTAAGCAAAAAGAGCAGCTCCAGGCGAGTGAGCAGGAGGTTGACGGTACGTTGCCGGCTTAGAGCACCTAACCGGTTCGATCCACAGCCCGCTCCTTCCCTCGAGCTAGTACCCAACCGCTCTTGCCTTCGAGAGCAGTCACTCTACGGCTTAGAGGAAGGAACGGCTTCAACAAATAAGCCGCTTAAGGTCGTAAGCCGAAGAGAGAGCACTCGCTGCTGTGAGCGAATATGTCCCGGCTCGTGGTTACCCGCCTTGCACCGCTAAGTTGTCATTGCGTATGATTTACATCCATAGGCGCGAAGGTTGGTGAGATCAGCTTGCGGCGCTCATCAGGGTTCGAATGGAAGATCTCAAAGGGCGTCTTCCAATTGATCGTCGACGTGAGTGCGCTGAGAGTAGATGCGCTTTGCTGATTTCCCGCCAGAGCGACGCTGGGAGCTTCGAGCTGCTCCTCATGGCGTTGATCTTCTCCTTGACCACACCCCGTGAGCGCTCGGCGGCGCCATTGAGAGCTTGCGTACTGTGAGGGACGAGTAACATCTAGGCGAGGCACAAGGGCACTGCGTATGCTGACTCAATTCTGCTAATCGAAAGCTGAAGAAAGAGGAGGAAAGATACAAGATAGCGCGTTGGCAACGCGAGAAGGCATGGCCCAGAACGGAGCTAGTCCGGATGCGGAAAGTGCACCTCCAACCCCAACCCTAGGTGCGCTTTCCGTCACACGTACGCGGCGGCGAGGGCTCGAGTCTGATATGACGCTCCTCAATCCGCATGGCTTGACTGTAAAGATCTCGTTGTCTGCCTCAACGGCCTTGATCTTGATCCCGAATTGGAGTTCCATCATGCCTAGGAAACTTGCAAGCGCCTCGATTATCGACTCTGTGGTACGGTCCTGCAAGTCAACTCGGTTCGTTTGCGAATCTTACCTCCTTGGTTCGTGTCTTCTCTCTTGACACGTTTACGGAGAGCTTCGACCTGCCTGCGAAGTTCTGGATCCTTTTCTAGCCGTTCTTTTGCGAGGAACTCCCTGCGGTAGGCTGGTGGGTAGTAGGAAGGCCGGAGTTCTGGAAACAGTGCCCAACAGCCTGAAAGGGGATGGAGGCCGTCGCAGGCTAGGCAGCCAGATTTTGCTCCTCCAGTGTGTTTGCGCTTGTGGCCGTGGTTGCGGACGCCTCGGGCGCCTGGGCTACGGCTTCGCGAGCGGTTTGGTGTGTGTTGACGGGGACGTGGTGCTGGGGAGCTAGTGCATGTGCGCGATTCTCGGTGCTCAGGATGTTTCATGGACTGCTGAAGTTCTTCGCGATCGTCAGAGCCGGCGCGTTCCTTGAGGGTTGCGTACCACAGATCGATAGTCTTATCGGCCTTGCAGGTCGTATCGTAGAGCTGAGGGGCTACCGTTTGGCGAATCCACGCTGTCAGCCTGTTTAGGTTTTGTCGCTCGGCTTCGTAGAGTTGCCACTCGAAATGGTATGCCGAGAGGTCGGTCCTGTACGCATCGCGGCCGAGGGCGGTCATCTCGCTGGTGTTTCGAGGTGGGTTTCGTCTGTCAATCTCTTCCACTGGAGGGCCGATGGCAAGGGCTTGCGATTCGCCTACTGTTACGCTTGAAGAAACGCTTCCTGCACGTGTGCTCTGTGCGGGAGGCGCATCCGCGCGATCAAGACGTTTTGGGTAGTCCTTGATGGCTGGTTTTATCGGGGCGGTCTTGAATTGGCCCTTGGAGGTGCCCTTGGGGTCAATGAGTTCCCAAAGGTCCCTGGTTGTCGCCTCTGATCTGAAGCGCTCATTCCAGGATTTCCAATTGTCAGGACCGGTGAGCTTGACGTCGACGTTGACGGTGGCCATGGTGGTAAATCGGTCGGTTTTGACGCGTCTCGTAGCTGTTGTTTCGTTCTGCTGCGTGGGAACGGAAACTGGGAGTTCAGGTGGCCTTCCCGGAGGAGAGTTGGAAAGCCAACAGCTACGAATTGACTGTATCAAGGTGATTGGGTGCCAAAAGGTGATGAAAGGGGGGGCAACCAGTCCATTGATGATGATGTCTGTATCTCTTGTCTCTGTCTTGTTCCCACTGCCGCGGGCCTCGCCCTGATCCTGAAAATACTAATAATGCCCAGCCACTAGTTACCCCTGAATTTTGTCCGAGTTCAAGGCAAACCGATTTGATCCGGATGTAGTTAGCGTGCTAAGGCCCTCGAGGCCCAGTGCCTCCGGGCGAAATAAATTCCATCCATCCATCCATACCCCTGAATTGCCCCTCCTAACCGCCTTCCAAATCCAACAGGATTTCCTCGTCCGCAAAACGGGCGTGGCCGAAATCACCTAGGTAAAAGTCAGGTAGCATAGTATCCTCGGGCCAGTGAATCCAGATGTTGCCCATGTGAGCATCGCCGTGATAGACTGGCTGGTCGCCAGCCGTGTACAGCCATTGGAACATGCTGAGAACTTGGCGGATCATTCTAACAAGTATGGATGTAGGTATCCAGGGGCTATTGATTGCTGGTGTCTGCCACCGCGTCTTGATGCTCTCTCCGTTGCAGAGCTTCCAATACGAGACGGAGTGGTACATGGAAGCACCCCCTGGGTCTCCGTGATTAGATTTAATGTATTCATGGCCGTAACAATCAACAATGTAGGGTGGGATGCCTACCTCGGGGGGCTTGAAGGGCTTATTGATCTTCTTGAGGATCCGGATCCCGTTCGGCTTCTCGAACGGCGGCAGCTTCTCTTCGTCTGCACCAGAATCGCCAAAGCGCCGCAAACGCCGGTGAGTTACCTTGCGTATCAAGTTCATCCCGGTCCCGGTATCCTTGATTAGCTGAGCCACAGACTCCCCCCCACGCCCAATGTTATGGATAAGACAAACCGGCGGCAACCAGCCTCGAACATGTACATATACCCTATCTCGGTCTCGCCGTCTGCCTTGCCACCCTCAGCAGGCTCTGTCAAGCTGTTTTCCATGGCCTACGGCAAGTCCGGATGCTGTCTTCGGAATTTGTTCTTCTAGTGCCCGGGAACAAACGGCAGCGTTGTGATCCGTCCTCTTCGGGCGTTCTAGCCAATGTCGCGTGTTAATTACGGTGCAAATGGCCATTATAGACCGTGAAACTAAGGACTACGTCTTTGTTCATCTTAAGCGTAGGGCCTTATAGCAAAATGGAACATTGGTAGCCTGCCCTGGGATCAACCCTAGTCAAAGGGGAGCTATCGTAACGTTCTAGTATGTTCACAAAGAGGGCGCCATCGATAATCAAAATTTGAGGTACCATCTCTAGGTAGCATTCAAAGTATACGGGTCTTAGGGCCGATTATTGCCTATAGAGAACCGTCAAGGGACAATGGTTCAACACTCGTATGCTCAACAACACCAAACCCAGCTGATGCAACCGTGGTTGCATCTCTGTATTCCGACGATTGCCCCACACCTCGTCAAGCCTACAATATGGTGCCCGGTCTGTGATCAATCCTATCCGCATATCTTGAATGTCTTTGGCAGCATCTATTTCCCTGTATAAGGAGGCCGGCGTGCTAAGTTGTTGTCCCAGACAACCTTAGCACAACAGCGGCCAAAAGCATGTACAACTGAAGAATTCTACTTTTTATTTCCATCCCGCCGACCTACGACCCTCCCCAAAGGCGGAAAGTAGGTATCGCAGCACACGTCCCAGAAATGTTTTAGCCCTGTGGGACGCACAAGGCGTCTTCGTCGAAGATGCCGCACTTCAGCCCAGCACAACAGTCCGTGTCCACTCGGCAGGAGGTCAGGATCGAGTGACAAGCCTTTTGACTGTGTTAGACGGGATTTCCACTGGAGCCATTGATGATTTCGTGTGATATCACTTACCGCCTTCCCGGAGAAATCCACCACGGCAAACGGTGCCTGGGCCTGGCGTCTCGGGAGGGCCATGCTAGCGACCAGGCTGAGCAGGAAGAATAGAACGACGTGAATTGAGGACTTCATGATGCCGAGCTCAAAATGAACGAGGACCTGCCCAGTTCGAAAACAATGCACGTCTTCTCCAGCCTGGGAGGAGAGAAAGAAAGAGAGGGTGAGCAGAAAAGCGTAAAAGAGGCAAAGTAACGGCGTGGATCAGCACCGACGGCACCCGAGCGCTTTAATGATGCGACCTCTGAGCTTGCGTTGCCTGCCTGCCCCTCTGAAACGGAGTGCCCCGGGGAACGTGTTCGCCGCAGAAACGTCAGCGGTGGACCGCAATGGGGAAGTTCGTCTGAAGGATGCTGAAATCTGAAACAGCGTGGAGCTGTGGGGATGCGCTAACGCGAGACTACGTGATTTGCCAGCAAATCATGTTAGTGCGCTTGCGAATGGACAAACGAACGCATTGAGGGGGAGCGTTTCAGTTTAAATAGCACGCCCACGAAAGCACAACCATCCTTTTGTTGGTGCAACCCGCTCTCTGGCCAAAAAAAGCCGAACGCCAAGTGTAGGTGCCACTAAAATCTTCGACTAGAAGAAGAAAAGAAAGTCATTTTGAAGTTCAAATTCAGCTTTTTATTTGTCTCGGTTTCTTTTAATGTATTTTGCTCGGTGTTCTCCGCCTCTTCCTTTTCCCTGAGTTTCTTTATCCTTTCTCTCTTCTTGTTTCTCTTTTCTCGACTTTCGAGTTCGGCTTTTTTTGGCCAGAGTGTGCTACCCAGGAGCCCGGCTCGAGCCTGGTTGCCTGGTTCTCGGGGCGCGAGAGGGATCGGCTGGATCATCCGATCGGCGCTTTTCTGAGATCCCATTGCCAAACGTGTTGTTGGATGCCAACAGGAATTTCGGATGTTGGCTGAACTTGATTCGTTCCGCGCAGCGACAACTGCTGCTTATTCTGCTCAGCTGCTATGGGCATGTGGTGGGATAACGGTGTGACAACGATGTAAGACCGACTTCAATGGGAAGAGGACAAAGAACAAGTTTCGGGTGCGCCGAAAAGGCCTTGGCCTCGGCCATTGTTAATACTTGACATCGATTGCATTTCCGACGAGGCCGGCCGTGGGAGCGGTGGCTAAGGCACTGTTAGTTAGATCTGCTTGGTGGTGTCACATGGTGTTGGCAGCTGATGGTTGAATGTATAGAGCCTGAATTGTGTATTCGAGTATAGGTATGTAGCTGAGAAAAGATTTGTTGTACAGGCCCGCTGTGGTATCAAAGACATATGATGTTCATACCGCCATATCCAAGCCCGACCGAGCGGAGATTTATCGCCAGGATCCAAACTCCAACGCATCCAATATGTACCCTTCCTCCCCGACCATTCCACTCCCATTTATACCATAGGCCACCCTTTATAGCCCCATCCCATGGTTCCCATCCCACCCGACCCCCCTACATCACATCAAAAAACAGCACGGCTCCGGAAAACACTCATCCCACGACCCGCCCCCCCTAGCCCAAAACCTCTCCAGCGTCGCCCTGGCCACCCTCGGCCCCGCCACGCCGTGATCCCGACTCATATCATCCAGCCGCTCCCCAATCCACTTTTGCACGCCGGCCCCCGCCCTGGCCGCCTCCACCCCAGCCACGATCAGCGCCCAGGTGGTGCGCTTCCGCACGCGCGGCACCTCGACGGCCCTCTCCAGCAGGCCGAACAGCTGGCGGGCGTGGCGGGCGCGGGCGAGGCCCAGCTCGGCGGAGGCGCGCGGCAGGGCGCCGGAGGATTGTAGCGATAGGATGGCGTAGAGGGCGGTGGTGGCGCGGTAGATGCTGCCGAGGAGCTGCCACTCGTCTTCGAAGGCGTCCTTGTCGGCGCTGAAGGCGGTCGGGGAAAAGGCTTCAATGCGGGCGAGGAGGAGGTGGGCGGTGCGGGTGGTTTCTGGGGAGGGGAGGTGCGTGCGCAGGTCGTTGATGAGAATGATGTCGGTGAAGAGGGTGCTGGGGCAGTTGATGGACGGGTAGTAGGTCTCGGTGTAGTAGGTGGAGGCGAGGCGGAGGGTTCCGTCGGTGCTGGTGATTTGGAGTTGGTTGTTGTTGGGGCTGGTGGTGTTGGCGAAAACGCTGACGCTGTGTGGAGAGGGTGGTGGGTGAGTTAGGGAGCGGGAAGTTTGGGGATGGGGGGTGGACGTACATAAATAGCGCCATCATGCTGAGCTCGATGTAAGGGACGTCACGAATCACATCTTCAAACGACCCCCGAAGGTGGAGCAGACTCATGTATGCATCCACGTGGGTCCGCCAGCCCGGGGTAAAAGACTGCTGAAGCTACGGAATATCAGAGAGGAGCGGCTATCAGACTGGAAGATGTCCGGTGACCTACCATGGCGAAGAGGAGGGAGTAGACGGCAACGAGTGTGGTAATATTCTTCCGCGTCGCTTCGTTTGAGACTAGTTTGGTAATCTCGCGCACCGCAATGTCACGGTGACGGTAGAGGCGTGTCCACATCGGTTTAACAACTTGGCTGGTTGTGGGATCGTCGACCATCTGGGTGATCCGGTGGCCAACAACCACAGACACCAGAGTGTGGACGATGGACGGGGGGATATCCTGCACCAGCACGATGGGGAACAAGAAGCCACTCGGAGCCAGCTGAGACTGTTCGAGCTGCGGGTAGATGTGGCCATTGTCTAGTGCGGAAAGGGCAAGTTGGTAACTAATAAGCGTCGAGCTCAATAAATTTGGGGGGAGGGGGAGTGGGCCGAACGTACAGTAGAGCATGGCTTCAAAAATGTCGCAAACCTCGGGCCGGATCTCAACGGGACGTGGAAATTCAACCATTTCGTCCTGGGTATCGCTCCGAGAGTCTTCGCTGGAGTCACCAGCCACAGCCCGACCCTTCTTTTCGAGTCTCCGTTTGGCGCTGTGGCAAGCCTTGCGAGGGGGCGGCGCTTTACTGTTTGGAACTTTGGTACTTGGGTTCTTCTTCCTGCGGGTGCGTGACATGACCTGGCCCGGTGCGAGCCAAGTCAGCGGTTTCTTGTCTGCATACCCGGGACACACGATGCCGGCGGCACGGCATTTCGTGCATACGGGTTGGACGCCGTCACAAACCAGACGACGGCGACGACATTCCCAGCACTGCGGGCGTTCGGGTCGTTCAGTGCGTCCAGGTTCAGGGCGTTCGACGGCGGTTATGATTGGGACGATGGGGTTGGGGGTCGACGGATCGGGTGTGGTGTGTTCACTGCGTTGACTGTGTTCAGACATTGCTGCCGAGTATTTTCCTATTCTGTACTCAGTGTGTAGCTAACGTAACCGAGTTTCCGAACTAGAACCATGATGGCGGCCCGGCTTCATAAGAATGGATCTCAAGTTGAGCCGTTCGCCTGACACGAACTCCTGGGAAGGTGTGTCAAGGGTGTGTGTGAAATCAATCCACTGAATCCAGCCCTGTGCTGTGGCTGTGGTCGGCGGATCCTTCCCGCAAAGTCAAAAATCTCTTGGCCACCTCATTGTCCCGATTAGGAAGTAACCATGCAGGTCAACCCTGCCAGTTGACTTCAATTGTGGATGACTCAGAATGAAAAGGATCCAAGTTGCAGCTCTAATTTGTGGGAACCATTCGGTTTTGGCCCATTGAGAGGACAGCGTTAGCGATCAGCACTGATCGGAATCCCCGTTTCCATCCACTGCCACGCACCCACGCACGCGCTGCCGCTGCCGGCATGTTGGCACTGCTGGGCGTCTTCACTAGATTGGAATTTCTGATATATAAGCTTCATCCTGCATGATGATGGTTCCCTTGGCTTCAAGTCTTGGCCTCAAGCCCGATTTGATGTGTATCAACAATTGGATTTCTATCTAACCCGACGCCATCCCTGTTTTTTTGACAAATCCTATCGATATTTTTGAGACCATTCCTGTCGGATTTTGACGGTTGCCTCGTTGTCATCGTGTTACCGTCTCGGGTTACAGCAACATGGCAAATGGCATGCCAGGTCAGTCTCCGTCCAACAGCGAGGCCTGCGGTTGTCTACCATGTTTCTAACAACGACCCCAGTTTCCGGGAGCATCTGGTTCTATGCCCCGACTAATATTGCCCCTATTCCATTCGCCGTTCTTTTCGGCGTTTCAGCGATATTACATCTCTGGCAGTGCGCGTAAGTGCAGAGAGCAAAGGACAAATGCCGAAATCTTTGACCGCATGTCTGACCATTCAAAACAGCCACTACAAAGCCTTCAGAGTGACGGCCTATCTACCCTTCTGCTGCACACTCTTTGCCGCCGGGTTCGCCCTCCGCGAGGTGGGCGCCTTCAATATCGGCAATGTCAATGTGTACCTCGCCAGCACCCTCCTCATCTACATGTCCCCGTGAGTTGCCTCTTGCCCATCCCCTACCACTTACTACACTCACCCCAGACCTTGACTAAACCCCCACCCCCACCAACCAGCCCCATCCTCGAACTCGCCAACTACCACATCCTCGGCCGCACGCTCTACTACGTCCCCTACTTCTCGCCCATCCACCCGGGCCGCGTCCTGACCACGCTCGGCTCCCTCTCCGCCGTCGTCGAGATTCTCAACGCCCTCGGCGTATCCTACCTCGCCACGAGCCGCACCCCGGGCGGCAGGCGCTACGAGCTCGGGCCACAACCTGCTCCGCGCCTCCCTCGCCCTCCAGCTCGCCGTCATCGCCCTCTTCTACACCCTCGCCGCGCTCTTTCACGCGCGCTGCGCACGCGCCGGCGTCGCCCACCCCCGCGTCCGCGCCGTCCTGTATTCACTGTACGCCAGCATGCTACTGATCCTCGCGCGTACTATCTACCGCGCCGTCGAGCACTTTGCCGCGCCCATGGTGGTGGTCGGGGGTGCGGAGGACGCTTGGCGCAGCCTCAGCCCGGTGATCCGCTACGAGTGGTTCTTCTGGGTGTTTGAGGCCGCGCCCATGCTGGTCAACGTGCTAATGTGGAACGCCCGCCATCCCCGCCGCTACCTGCCGCAGAGCTATAAGCGGTATTTGGCTCAGGATGGCGAGACGGAGCTGGATGGGCCGGGTTGGGCTGATAAGCGGAATTTGGTGATGACGGTTGTGGATCCGTTTGGTGTTGTGGCGATGTGTGAGAAGGACCGTCGCGGGGAGCCGTTCTGGGAGGAGAATGGGTATCATCATGTGCTGAGCGGGAAGGCGGGGCAGCAGGAGGCTGTCTGATGGGGGTGGGGGTGGTGATGGGTTTGTGGTTTCTTTTGTTTGGATTTACGAGCATGTGATACCTTTTGATCTTTGGTTATTAGAAATAGAGACAAGGTTAAGGGTATGTACCTATGTACGAATGCATGTACGTGTACTGTGTGGTAAGATCTAGTGCTTGCCCGGGGACATCGCCATTAACTTGTGACTACCTGCTACCAACAAGAGTAAATCACAACTTCAACGTTTCACAACACCGCACACGCTGACATCGCCGACCCCGACGGCGGATACTGCTTCCCGCCTTTCTCGACCTTCGGCTCACATGTGCACCATTGCTCCTGAGGGATGCTGTCCATCACCTTGGGCACATGCTGCCCGCAGCCAAACCATGTGGCTTTGTCTGGCAGAGGGAAGTGTCAGGCGTTAGCAGGGAAAACAGAATCTCTCAATACGAGTAGGAAGCACCACGGCGTCATTGAAGTGGAAATAGACGTCATGCTGGGACGGGTCGTTGATCGTGGTAGGATGGCAGGATGGGAGGAATGAGCCGGACGTACTGCAGGTGCCGCAGCTTGCTTTGTGGCACATTCTTACTTGGTTAACACGGGTTTGAATTGGTATGGGTTGGGGTTAGTTGTTGCCTGGTGTCCGGGACAGAAAGAACCGTACATGAAGATGGGCGAGCCGGTGCCTCGGGGGATTGACCTGATCTGGAAAGGAGCGGTGTTGTCAGGGCTGAAGTTGGGTTGGGTTTGGGGTTGAGGGTTTAGGGGTTTGATTGGCTGTTGTGGCGGAAAGTGACGCAACTTGACAGGTTGGTGGCTTGAAGGCTTGAATCCTTCGACGGCTACCTGTAACCTGGTTATCATGGGCTTGGGAAACTTGGCATCGTGATTTTGGGTTTGGGAAAATGCTTATATTAGATAGGCAAGTACGGAACTTGTGTTCTGGCCGCCACATACCGGCATCTGGGGTAAGATATCTTGATCTCGATAATGCGGCGCGCTTGATTACTACTACATGTAACTACCTACCTTACCTACCTACGTACTTCACTCCCTACTAGTCACTCTACACACGTAGGTAAGTAATGCACTATCTCAACCGCAGGCCTATCTTGACCTGAACAGGGCCATACTAAACATGCAGTGGATAGATCAGCAACGGTACCGCATGAGCGAAGAAGGGGCTGTCTTGGGAGACATCTTGAACCCCGTCGTAAGCCGGCTCCTGGACAGCATCCGGGGATTAGACCATTGTTCCCTTGCAACCTTGAAAACCAACACTTTTCCGGCTATAAAAGCTACACGAAATCATCTTATGCCTCGCCGATATCTTCCCCCAACAATAACACTTAGGATGGAGAGGAGAAATTGCTGGTACTATTCGGATTGTGATGGTGATATTCGGCTTGACAGTTTCACCGCAGGGACAAGGATGATGAATCATGCTTGGCTTGGCTCTGTCTTGGTAGCACTCGAAGTACCGCCGAGCTCCCACATCAGCTGCAAAACATCAACACCGCCGAGCTCCCCGGTGCCGCACCCAATATCGTGACGGTTACCACCCACGAGTGCTGGCATCAGCACAAGCGCACTTGAAGAATCCCGCTCTTGTATCTCTCTTCACCCACCATACATATGATGATACAACGCACAATGGCAAACACCAACCCCCAACCCAGCCCCCCCGCTCCCACCCGAGCCGGCGCAACCCTCCTCGCCCTCCCCACCGAAATACTCATCACCATCAGCCAAAACCTCTGCCTGCACTGCCGCTTCCCGCGCATCGGCGAGCTTCCCGACGACGAAACCACCACGGGCGTGCACGAACAAACCTCCCTCGGGCACCTCAGCCTGGCCTGCACCCGGCTGCGCGCCGTCGCCCAGCCCATCCTCTTCCACTTCTTCCACCCGCTCAGCGACGGACACTGCACCACGCGCCTCCGCCTCGCCCACCTCGTCCGCACCCTCTACCACCGCCCCGACCTCGCCGCCGCCGTCAAAAGCCTTGTCCTCTGGACCCCCAACGACAACGACAACGACAACGACAACGACAACGACAACGACAACGACAACGACAACGACAACGACAACGACAACGACAACGACAACGACACCACCACCACCCCCAGCAGCCACGCCCCATTCACCGCCGCCGCCGAGCGCCTCGACCCTTGGTGGGTCGACCGCATGCACGACTCCCTGGAGGAGCTGCAGGAGCTGGCGATGGCGCTGACGTCGGGGGCGGTGGGGTACGTGTTGCTGCAGCGGTGGTTTGGGGGCGCGGGGGCGCTGGCGACGACGGATTGGCTGGGGTGGGCGCGGCCGATGGAGGGGCTGCGGCATCTGGTGCTGGTCGGGTGGCGGTATCGGTGGCCGATGCAGTGGGAGTATACCTTCCATATCAAGGAGGCGCGGGCGTTGCTGAGGTCGAGCGCGAAGGGGTTGGAGAGCCTGGTGGCAGTGGATTGTGGTGCCGATGGCGTGGGCCCCCCGTCCGTGGTCAGTGGGCGGGATCCGTTGAAGGCGGTGCCGTGGGATGTGGAGTTGCCGCGGCTGAGGAGGTTGTCGATTAGTGGTGAGAATGTGGGGGTGGAGGAGGTCGAGGCCATCGTGCGGCATAGTGAAGTGTTTGAGGACTTGGAGCTGTTTCACTCGCAGTTTTATCACGGCCGGGAATGGGTGCGGGATGTGCTTGATTTGGAGAGGCACTTGGGGACGGCGAAGAAGACGTTGAAAAGGTTGTGTTATTCGGCTTTTCCGATCAAGGCACCGCTGAGGGAGACTGATGTGTGCGACGAGGAATATGAACAGAGTGATTCGGATGACGACGAGGACTACTTTGACCCGACTTGGCATGGGCTCGAGGGGTTTGAGGCTGGGTTTTCGTTGAAGGATTTCTCTGTTCTTGAGACACTCGAGCTGGAGCAGCTAGTGTTGTACGGGCCTGTATTTGAGGAGCCTGATAACGTGGAGAACGACCGCAGCGGCGAGCTGGTGACGACCGACGACTTCCTGGAAAAGTTCCCGCCGTCGTTGGTGCGTCTTCGCATTGGTTGTATTTTCTACTGGCCGATCGTGTTCAGGGATATGCTGGCGATGGCAGACGAGTGTGCCCGGTTCCCGAACCTGCGGTCTGTTGCGCTGGAAGTCCGGAGAATACCACCGAGGGAGGAGTTTGATTATTTGGTCGAGGCATTCCAGAGGGTGGGAATCGCAATATCGATCTGTTCTGTGGTTAGAGATCCCTTCTCAAGGGGCTTGCTTCCAACACGGCCCGGATTCCCAGTCCGACTTCCTGAGCCGGTGTGTTACACTTCCGAGCATTTGTTGGGGAGGATGTCAATACGGTGAGCTGAGGCTGTATTAATTAGGCCGGACTTGTGTGAACAAACGGAGGAAATGGCGTCAGAAGAGGTATATTCAACATACGAGAAGGAGGAGTCAAGGGCATTAGAACCACAATCCAAACACTAACCCCTGAGATCAACCTCATTCCTCCTACCTCAACAAGCCTTGGTAGGTACAAGTCCCCTCTTTTTAGTGTCACCAATCTCCCCTAACCCCCCCTTTCCAACCCCCCATTCATTCACCCACCACCTCCCCTCTCACTGCCC